TTTTTTTTTTTTTTTTTTTTTTTTTTTTGAATAATTAAATTAAATTTATATAATTAATTAATGAAATTTTATTTTTTTCTGGACGAGAAGCTTAGCTTTTATTATCAGAAGAGAGTGAAAAAATGGAGGGAGACTTTGTTTTAAGTGGTTCTTGCGAACTTCTCCAACTAAAAACCGTCTTTCCTTACAGTCTATCTTGCTTGAGGATGGGTAGTGTAGAAAATTGACCTGTAAATTTGAGATCTTGGCTGCATATCTTTGATTTCCAGCCGTTGCTTAAACGTCGTTTATCCTAAATCTCCTGGTTTAGTAGTTTGCAGGTGTGGAGAATGCGCTCCTTTGTATGTAGTGTTTTCTTATTATCTCGAAGTTCTATATTAGGGAGTAATTACATATTTTAGAGCAATGGAAGTTCTTTTTTGCCTCATAATGGGAAGCATTGTTATTCATTTCTGTCTCAATACGGAGAAGTGATTGCATTCTAATATCTCTATCATCTATTTCACGTAGGGAAACTTTAACAGATAATTTGGGAGTCGTAGGTGGAGAAAAGATTGATGAAAACCTGAACAAGCCTAAGAGAAAAGATGTAACCAGGAAGCTTGGAACTCAAAACAATCAAGACGATGCTACTACAAACAATATGAATAAAGGCACTAGCATTTATGATGCAGTATTGGAGAGATTGCCTGATAAAACGAACTGTATGAGTAGTTTGCATGATGCGATCTGCAGGCCCCAGAGTCCTAGTGTGGATGACTTGGTTCCCTCCAATCCAATGGAGAAGAGGAAGGGTGTACTGACTCCCACCCAAGTTATCATGTCATATGTAAAGAAAATACATGGTAGTCCAGTTTACAATCACTATGAAGCAACTATCCCATGTTCGGTGACTGGTAGGCAAGTTTACAATCACTATGAAGCAACTATCCCATGTACAGTGAATGAATCGAAGGCTTCAGAGAGTGGTATCAAAGTCGAGGTAAGATGTTGTGCGTCTCTTCACATACATGGTCTTGATTTTCTATTTATCTTTAGGATCTTAAGTTACATATTTTGCCTGAATTTTTATTAAACATTAGGACTTCTGATGCTTATGGGGACATTGACTCAGATTTTATTCTCTCCTATAAATTTTGGCTTAAAGCATGCCTATATTTTAAGAATTATTGTGGGTTCATCCCTTGAAGGATCTGGACATGATAATTTTTGGAGCAGTTTTTGTATGCTTTATTCACTCAAGATGAGATTCTCCGTTGGGACCTATGGTCCAAGGGACAGTCTTGAGGAGGGGTCAACGTGGTTACTCTATGTTTTTGACACCACAAGAGATACTATTTGGCTTTAGGTATCATTTTTTTAGTGGATTAATTGAAGAATTTGCACATTTAAATCCCTGACCTTTTTTGATAATGTAAAGAACTATGTCAAGTGTAGCAAGGTAAATAATTAAAAAAATTGGAGTTTTTAAAGTTGTTAGTCCTTAAAAAATGATTCGTTGCTTCTCAATTAATATAGGTACACAACTTTGAAAATACTTGAAGGAAACTGGAAAAAGAAAACATCTAGAGTACAAGATAACCCCTGTAAGCATAGGACATGACCAGATACTCTTTATACGTCCCAGTAAATTACAAGATAACTAAGTAATCCTCTATTTTCAACTGCATAAACTTTGATATAATTAAACAGAAAAACTCTGTTATAGAACTAGTGGAAAAATTAAACCATTGTTAATGCATTGAAATGAAGGATGGTGAAGACGTGATAGTGCAATCTAGCGCAAAAGAGTTGGGAACTTTAACTCTCACACAAGATCCTTGTTATTATTCATTTAAGTTCATTGACAAATCTATTATAAATGAAAACCAATTAATTCCAACTATTATGTAAGTTTTCGGATTCAGTATTCTTTTAACATAGAACCAAAGAGTTGTTGAATTCAATTTTTTGCGTGCCACATCTTTACTTCAAAATTAATTATCTGTATGATGAGCTTGTTAATCCAAGGAAAATTTCAATCTGTACTTGACAGAATGCTAGTTATTAATGTTGTAAATTAATAATTGTCATAATAACTCAGATTTTTGAGATAGTACAATCTGTAGCTTTTAATGAATTAATTTTTGCTTTATTTTATTATATTTATAATTCAGCTGATAGAATAATTTACTTTCCAGGATGGAATACTAGCAACAAACCCGTGTATTGCTGAAGGCAGTGGTGAAAAGGTTGCTTCTGGCAATCTCTCTGACAATATTTCAGATCAAAATAGGAATGACGATCATGCTCTCATCACCTGTCAATCGAACGCAAAGCATCTTTCCAAGATGCAGGCAATTATTTCGAAAGAAACAGCATTGTCACAAGCTGCCATTAAAGCTCTAATTAGAAAGAGGGATAAACTGGTACAAACACACATCTTATATTGTGAAGTTTTGGGCTTATCCTTGTCTCATGAATTTATTTTGAACCAGAAACTTTTAAAGATAGCGTGTTGCAAAAAAATGAGAACGCGTAATATATAATAAATAGCTGAGAGCTTCCACTTCCACCACAATTGTAAAATAGAAATGGGCGAAGTGATTTAAATCTCACGTCTCCTGCATCTTTGTTGATGAGATGGTAGGAAATTAATTAAGCTTGCTCTGGTCTCTTTTTGTATGTCTCACCTTACAGTGGTATTCAGCTGGCCCTTTCTCTCTGAACAAGGGTTTGTCATAAATTGAGCCCTTTTGAATCATCTTACATATCGTTATTTCTGACAGTGTAATCCAATCATTGTCTGCAGTCTCATCAACAGCGCATAATTGAAGATGAGATAGCTCAGTGTGATAAAAATATGCAGACAATATTAAGGGGTATGTTCTATTTACTTTTTTCTTTTTTTGTTCCTCCTGTTCTTGTTTTGTTTCTACAGTTTATTCTATTCAATATGCTTCATGTAAGAAAGCCTCTAGACATTTAGATGATTTCCTTCTTCAAATACTAGCAGTTCTCAGTCCTCTTTTTTGCTTCATTTTTACTTGATGAACTCTTACCCCAGCTCTCTACGATTTATGGTCTTATAAGCCTGTGGTGCATGCTATATAAATGATTTTTCAGTATTGGCTTGAGCCTATAACTCGAAATGTCGTTATAATTGGTAGTCTAAGGATTTTGTAGATCCTGAGCTTCAAATGGAAGTAATTCTAAGATTTTGTATTTGGTATTTGTCATTGCTTTAATCATTTGATGTTTATACTGGAGCTAGATTTTCAATTTTATATGTAAACTGATGAATTGTGTTATATTAGAACAGGTAATATTAGAAACTCATTATTGAATTAAAATATGCATTGAAAGAAGTTTGAAATTGTTAGTGGTGCATCCTAGTATTTTAGATAAAAGAAGAATATTTGATAGTGCTGTTATATATAAAAAAAAAAATGTGGGATGCTAAGTACTCATGTTACTGTTTTTTTTTTTTTTTTTTTTTAAATTAATTAGCACCAATGTACAAGTAGCTAACACCATTGGAGATGCTTTACAACGTTAAGGAGATGCTTTAAATTTTAACTTGAGTTTTTACTTTATTCCTAGTTTTGCTTATTTGATTCCATAATTATTTTTAGATTTTATTTTGATATTTTTTCATCAGATCAAGTTAATCTATGTCATCATAACTAACCAAAGAGAATGTCTGAATTACATTCACATTTTGGTTGCTAAAGGTGATGAAGATGATTTTGTTGTAAAGCTGGATTCTGTGATTGAATGTTGTAATGATGTATGTCTAAGAAGCGCAGCTGAAGACAAACCTTATCAATACTCTGAAGAAAACTGCTCATCTCAACTAGTCACAAGGAAGAGATTGTCAGAAGAAATTCTCTGCATACGGAATCCATGTCAGGTGGGTTAACCATTGAAGATAATAATATTCAAAAATTTTATATTTGAGGGTATTGTGGTTGTATTCGTATATTTATGTCTTAATGCTGCCCAAGTTATATTTTTTAAATTAATAGGATCTCATCATTCCGTACAATAGATTTAAGTAAAATAGATCAGAGGGCCTTGAAAGGAACTCTTCAAAAGAATTGCCATGCTAAAATTATACAGCACAAATAACACAGAAGACATTATTTCGAACAACTGGTTTGGAAGAATAGTGATGTTAAATAGCTTTATTATGGCTTAGTATACGAGTTGGAAATATGTGGACTTAAAACATCGAGATTATGATGTCACTTTTCAAAAATTTGAGATACACATAAGAACTTATCATTAAAAGTTGAAAGTAGGACTTGTATAGACAACTGGAAAGTTTTTTCTTCTTTCATTTTTTTTTTTGGGTGGGGAGGGAGTGAATTTTTGAGTTCTTATTTTTGTCTACTTTATACATATGACTAATCTATGCAAGGAAAATGCTGCCTCAATATTCTTTATGCTACTGGTCAGCACCTATTTTTCGAGATCCTAGTTTTGTCTGCATGTTTATATTTATGTTTTAAACTTCTTTATGGTCCCTCTCATACGAAATAGATTTCCAACTTTTCTCTTTTTGACTTTTTCTTTCTGTAGATTTTCCTCTCAATATATTTTAGAACTGGGAAAGGACACCTACTATGTCTTCATTTAAAAAAAAAATCTTTATCATGGATGGAGTGTGGTCCTCAAAGAAGAAAAATTGATAACTTAGTCTATGAGCTTAGTTACAAATACAAATTTTTCTTTCTATGGGTAATGTTTGGCCTCCAATAATAAGAGTGTACTGGAGGAGGGGTAAAAAGTGAAACATCCTCTGGAAGTTTAATAGGATGAATTGCCCTTGTATTTTAGGGGAGTGATGTAAGTGTGAGGGAGAAGATGAATCTTGTGAAGTTTGTATAGGGAGGGAAGCTGGCCCTCAAGTTTTGTAAGGTGCTTGGTTCACCTCTTTCTTTGTGAATAGTGATAATATTAGTGTTCATACCTACTTTCCTTAAAATATACTTTCTTGTATAAACAATAATTGTCAAGGATATTTGTGTAATTCCATAAAATATGGGTTAGCGATTATTATTTAGATTTACTGTTACGTTGTGTTTAGGGATTTATTTAAATTTAATAGAGTATTTAGATTATTTAGTGATTTAGATTTAGTTAGTCTCTCCCTCCCCTTGTAAAAGAGACATGTAATTCTCTGAAAATAAATAAGAAAAAACAGCAAGCTAATTTAGACTCTCAACATGGTATGAGAGCATCGTATTAGATCAGAAAATCGAAGGGAATTTTCATGGTGTGTTAAGTAAGGATATGAAGACGTTGAAGTTCCGGATCCCTTTGTACAAAAAGTTGTCCTTGGCTGGAAGCACCATCCATTTGGTTGTCGGGAAGTGAACTGGCGAGGAAGAATGAGTTCGAGTTGCCAAATTTGTATCGCCAAAGTGTTTTCTATATTTTGCTGCATTTTTTGAAAATGTAGTGTTAACGAAGCAGTTACTTACACATTGGTGGATTGGAGAAGGCCGTCTGGACCCTTCAGGTAGTAGGGATCAAACACCTGAAGTTAAAGAAATTTACAATGCCCCCTATTTTGCATTCTGCTGCAATTATACTGGCCGAAGAAGAGATGTTTTTTTAATTATGATTCCGGAGGACAACTCATTTGGTAAATCTTCTGGCTGCTCATGATATTACAATCTATAGCGACCTATCTGCACTTGCAGCTTGGACCAACAGAGTTAAAGACTTTAGTTTTGGATAATGAGAGTTTTCAGTTCTATTTGGATTCAGCTATCGATTATCCACTTGACCAAATTTATTCGGAGCCTTCATAGCTACCGGTCTTCCACTTGACCTAATTTATCCAGAGCTCTCATAGCTACCAATTTTTCCCCTCGACCAAATTTATCAGCTATCATTGACAAATTTATTCGGAGCTTTAGCTAGTTGACAAATGTATTTGGAGCCTTCATAGCTACTGTTGAAGTCATGTCTTGATGTTTAAGTCATGTCATCGAAGTCATGTCTTGATGTTTAAGTCATGTCATCGAAGTCATGCAATCAATATTGCACATTAACCTAACCAGTCCAAGCTAAGAATGAATGATATTTATTACTCAGCTTGAGAAGGTGTCGAAGGAATGATATCTATTACTCAGCTTGACAAGGGGTGTCAAAATTTATGTGTAATTCATAAAATAAGGGAAATAGTTGACCGTTGGATTTATTTAAATTTATTTAAATTTAGTTATGGGGATTAACTGTTACCTACTATTTCTTTACATTTGTTTTTGGATTATTTAGATTATCTAGTGATTTAGATTTAGTTAGTTGTTCAAGAGGATAGGTAAGTCTCTGAAAATAAATAAACAGCAGTCTAATTTAGACTTCAACAATAACGGTAGATTTCAACTTGCTCTCTTGCCTGTAATTCAAACGCTAACTTTTGAAATTGGTTTAACAGATCCTTGTCTTTTGGGTTCTTTAATTTAAACTGTAAAATCCATGTGGATTCAGTGGATTTTCGTTTCGTTAAGAGAGAGTTTCCTTCCTAGGACAAGAGACACGTATTAAATTCAAGTTGCAATGTCCTGAGTAACAAATCTTCATATTTTTCCCAGAATGCAGCAAATGGATCATAAAAACTTGTAACTTGTAATACCATTGATTAGATACGCGGTTGAGGATGCTGCTAAGATGGTATTTGTTATGTATGGCAAACTTTGGCTAATAAAATGTGTAGTGTATTGATATATCTAATGCGTTAACGATATCATGTACGTCAAACTTATTGGGACTGGTTATCAATTTGGACTTGCCTAATGCACAGGGAAGATTGAACTTCAAAACTTTTGAAAAGCAAGTAGCATAAGCTTTCAGATACTGTTTCAAATAGTGTTGGGATGTAAATTTGATGTTAAATAATCTAAGAAATGGTAGTCTGCTATACATTTTTATTTCATTATTTCCACATTTGCTAACATTTGCAGCTGTAAATGTAATGATGCTCTGTTGGTTGGCAGGAACTGGACGATATATGTCATAAGAATAATTGGATATTGCCAGTCTATGGAGTTTCGTCATCAGATGGTAAGATCACATGTTTTTTTCTCGCCTGCAAGTTATTCTTCTTCTTTTTTTTTTTTTTAATAAATAAACTGCATTGCAAATCATTTGGATTTATTTGGTGGATTCTCCCTGTTGCACCTCGAAATATTCCACAAATATGAAGTATGTCTCTTTCCTTCTTTCCCCTCTCCTTCCCCGTAAGGAAATTTCAATCGTGTTTCATCCTATTCGCTTCCATTCATCCGTGGGTATGTTGCCGCTTCTCCCTTTGTGGAGACGGCCACCGTCGTCGAGTGTGATCAGGCTGCCACCTCAGTTCTCGGTTTAAAGCCTTGCCATCTCAGGTTGAACATGAGTTTGACCTTCATAGGTTGGAGAAGGGGTATCCTTTGATTATTGGGAGAATTAGTATTCTTCATGATAGAGGTTGAGAGGCTCATTTTGATGGGGGATGTTCCACTTCGCTGTGTGGTTGATGCCATTTTGGGTGCCTTGGGGCTTCTTGATATTGGAGATATCTTTCCAGATTCAAATCTGGGTACTCCGTCATTATTTTATTTATTTATTTTTTTGTTGAAGAACCTGTCTCAATTGAGCCCTCAATAGCCGACGGACTTACTGTCGAAGGAATTATTGGAAAATCGATGGACAATTCTTGAGGAGGGCGAGAGCAATTGGAGGAGTCGTGTGTCACAATCGCACTTTTCTTGGCACGGACTTTGTGATTGTGTGGCACTCACTCCTAACACCAAGTGAGTCGAGCCAATTTGAATTCGCGTAGCCTATGGCCGAGCAACGTATGCTCAAGCCTCTGACCCTGTTTGAAACGAAGGTTTTAGAAAACGGAGGCAAAAAGATTTTTGAAAGCGAGTTTGAAAGTAAGAATTAGAGAAGATTTAAAAGCAATGTTATATAACTATAAGCAAAAGGTAACACAATGGCTTAAATAACATATAACTTTCTAGGTAGGGAGAATTTAACAACTATTCGCATTCCCTTTTAGTACATTTTGAGGCGATTCAGGTTTGCCAGGCCTAGATGTGATTTTGCCGAACGATGGAAGGAGTTGACAACTAATCACACCTCCTATAGTACATTTGTGGTGATTTAGGTTTGGTAGGCCTAGACATGATTTCATCTAGTAGTTGTACAAATAGAAAATACAATAGTAAGGCAATACAACATGAGATTAAATAAAGGGTTCAACATAGCATGGACATGAACATGCGGCTATGGGCAACACGCCTTGGACGAGCATGGCCATGTTACCGTGCTGCCGCAATTGCCCAATCCATTCATCTAATCAAGAAGCGTTTAGAGTGAAAGAAGCTGATAATGAAATTGGAGTTGAATAAAACTGATTTGTGGGATGAGGCATGGTTCTATTATGGGTGAGATTGAAAAGAACAAGGCATCAGAGAGAGAATTGCTCGAGTATATTGACAGGATAAGGCTGGCTAGAGAAGAGAATGATGTAGAGTTGGAATCGTAGTCGGTAAATACATTAGTCAGCATGAGAAGCAATTCAAAAGAGAAAGAGCTTGAAGCTTTGTTAGCGGGGCAGAACGATTCTTGCTCTTATTATATTGAAGTGGAATTGAATTTCAAGGAACATATTTAAGCTATAACTATACGGCTTATACGGCTTAGGCAAATCCTGTAAGTGACTTTGCGACTTTGCTGTTGAGTGAACTGTGACCCTTGCACTTGTGTGTTATGAAGGTTTGACATGAGTCATGCTATGTGTATGCTTTGATATGTTATGCCTATGATATATGGTTATGTTATGGAAACTATTATGTCATGTCATAATTTATATCATGATATGACATGAGATGACTATGCTAGGCAGGCTATGGGATTGCATGATATTGATATGAACTTCCATATGTTATCCTACATATACTAAGATAACATGCTCACCGTTATGCTACATATACTAAGATAACATGTTCACCCATAGGCTTATGAGATACTGTTCTAGTATAACATGTTCACCCATAGGCTTATGAGATACTGTTCATGAGAGTTAGGTTTGTGAAATGAAACGGAGGCATGACTTGCATCACAAGAGCATACCATTGTTTTAAAGCTATGGGGTCTCATGCATTTTATATTGCATGTGCATTAGGATATTTCATCGTTATGATTCATATGAATGGCATCCGGCAGCGTGAGTGTACGCTAGCTCGACAAGCCAAACCTAAAGGGTATGTTACGAGCTCACCTAGTGGGTCTATGTGCGTGTGCGTGAGCTGTGTGTAGGGAAGTACTACACATCCAACCCTGTCCGACTTGAATTGGAAAGCAAAGCTCAAAGCCATGCAATGGTTTTATGCAAAGATAGGTCCCATCATAATTGCTTGTGTTTGCATTTCCTATCCTAACCCAATAGAAGGGCTACTCACTAAGTTTTTCCTAACACATTGCAGTAAAAACCATGGAACCAAAGCTATGATAATTGCATTTGTGTCTAAATTGTAGTCCTCAGGTTAGAGTAGGGCATGAACTTTTTGTTGTAGAATTGATTTTACAAATGCCCAAGTTCGTGGCATCAATTATGAAATGTTTTAAATCAATTGTTTTGTGCACATTAGACATGTCATACATGTATTACATTTTGTGTACTTACCATTTGAAATCATTTAACAGTGTCTAATAACAGTATGGAATAGTTGTGCTTAAATGTGTTGTGTTTATGATAGTATCTATTGTAGAATAGTTGTGCTAAAATGTATTGCGTGTCTTGAAGGTGGATTCCAAGCTAATGTAATATTAAAAGGGATGGATTTTGAGTATTCAAGCAACGGCGAAGTGTGTCACAATCCTCGTGAGGCCAGGGAATCAGCTGCAATGAAGATGTTAGGTCAACTATGGAGGATGGCGGCAAGTCAGCCCTAGTTCTTGGAGCCCCTTTCATGTAAGATATGTTTTAGTATGCTCTCCAAGATTGTGCAGTCTGAGGTAGTTTCTTTAGTGGGAGTACCAATCAAGATAACTGTTCACAATTGTTCATGATGCTTTTCGAATTTAGGATTTGCCTCATTACTATTTCCTTTTTAGTTTTCTGTTCTGTTCATATTTTTGCTTGCAATTTCTTTAGCTTGATCTATTTTCTGGAAAATATAAAAACATATTTCAAGTTAGTAGCCAAATTGGAAAGGTATAGGTTTGATTAGAACCATTTAGAGCTCGTGTTGTTCTCGTCTTGTTCTTATTCGATGCCATTTTCCTTCTAGGAATTCTAATTCTGAAAACCAGATTTGAAACATAAGACCAATGCTAAGCTTGTTTCTTTCTTATTTTGGAGTCAAGATCACATTGAGTTTGAAATAGAACTCCATGCACCCACAAATTCCATTCAAATATGGCTGTTTAAGAATGGTCATAATCTAAGTGTTGGGAGCCACATTCCACTCACATTATAAGTACACATCCTGGTGCAAGCTGTTGTTACTCTCTTATTTGCATATGTAACATTTCTTTCAAAATCTATCTTTTGAAAATCTCTTTACTCGTTTTCTAAGACCTTAAACTTGTTGTTGGAAAGTGAATGATATACAATTGCAAGTCTGCTGCCATAAAAAGATAAGTATAGGCGACAAAGAAAGCAACCAATATGACTATTTCAATTTCATTAGAAATAATTAAATAAGAATTAACTAAAAAAATTTATCTATTTAAAATATGAATCAAAATATATTTATTTTATATAAAAAAAATCTTAATCTCACTTTTAAAATATCCAATTTAATTTCCAACAAAAGAAACCTCCTCAATCAATTTTCTAATCAGTTTTTAAATATAACAATTATATTTAAATACATGGAAATATAATCTAATTATAAAAAATATAGAATTCAATTATGAAATCAAGTATCCTAATTCAATTTTTTTCAATCCATTTTTAAATATAATATTTATATTGAATTAGAAAATATATTTCAAAATTTTAATTAATTTATAAATATAAGATTTACATGGGAAAATATGAACTAATTTTTCATAATTCAAATTTTCAATTAATTTATAAATATAATATTTATATTCAATTATATGGATAATATAAACTAATTAGGAAAAAATATAGGATCTAATTAAGATATCTAATTTCTTAATATAATAACATTTATATTCAAATATGGAAAACATGAAATCTAAATTAATTTAAATTACATCTTTGAAACAATTTCAAAATTAGGATCGATAAACTTTTAACTTTTTTCCTTTATTCAAACATTAAAACGAGTGGAAAGACTAAAGTAAAATATATGTCGATTATTCCAATCAATTTTACAATCACATATCATATATATGAAATTAAAATTAAAATACTTTAGTCTTCCAAAATTTATGACTAAGATATCATATTTAAATGTCATAAGATATCATGATCTTATTCCAATCAATTTCACGATCATATATTGCTTAACCTTAGTTTTGTTTAATTTGAAATAAAATCAAAGTTGATTCCAACACTTTTGTTGTGTAAGTGAAACGTTCATTCCCAACATCGAGGAGAGTGGATCCCATCAAACTGTCTATGTCCACTCCATAAACAATGGCCCGGTCTTAGCCCTAGCTCATACACTTGTATGATTTTTTGCCCTTGGATGGGTTTAAGGAGGGTGAATCTCATTGAGTTGTTCAACACAATAAACTGGTCCCAGCCTTGTAAATGAATTAAGGAGAGTGGATCCATCAAGCTATCCAGTTCCACTCTAGGAAGGATGACTAAACGAACTTTGAAAAGTGGAAACATAAAACTAAGTGCACCTAGAAACCCTCGGATGAATTACACCCTTGGAATAGGAGTGTGTAGGGTTTAGAACTCAATAAGCCTAATAGGACGAGAGAGAACTTAATGGCCATGCAATTTGTCAACTTTAGGGATGTAATGACTATATAGTTTAAGAGCGTGATTAGGAGCGTACAAGTAGGTTGCATATTAAGTACTTTATATTCATTCTTGTTACTCTTTGTTTTTCAAATGATTCATAGATGATTGATTATGGTAGGGAATGTGCAAAGTCGTGCATCTACATAGAGGGCCCTTAGATTTGTGTCATGTGTTTTACTACTCATGTGACTTTTGCTTTGATTTACTTGTAATTGTGTAGACTATTTTGTATTTATAACTCAGACAGCATATTGTTATAATCCTTTGATATTGTTTTTATATCTATTTATTACGTTGAAATTGTTCCACGGCTGCATTAGCTGTTTTAAAAATGAATCTCATTTTTCACTTTGAGTATGTGAGGGCCCGTGTTTCTAAACCTTAAGAAGCAGATCGTTTAACACTATACATGATATATGCAATAGTGGAAATCTCGAAATATAACTTACAAAATATATAACAACAAACTTGTAGTAGAAAGGTGCCAAACATAGATAGATTTGATTTTATTAAGATTTAAAATAGAGGATTCACATGAGAGCAAAAACTCTATATTTGTAAAAATTGTTGTTCGTAATCCTCTGTATTGTGTTTCAGTAGTATAAAATTTCGACTCAACCTTGAGTCTTATTTATAGGAATTTAAGTCTAGGAAAAAAAAAAAAAAACTCAAAATCAGTCAAAATAGGAGGAAAAATTACCTCAACCAGGTCCAAATGGCGTTGAATGAGTCTGGACCGGTTGAAAATCCATTGAACTAATCACAATTCCTTAGATTGTTAGCCGTTGATTGAACTGGTTTGAACCCAAAACAAACTCACCCGAATAGATCTTTAACGGGTCGAACGGTCAATTATGCAAACTCTGACAAACGTTCTCCTATGACGATTGTGCGTAGATCGAGGACAATTCGATGAGTGAAGCCCCTAATTGACAGGCTAGAGACACAAAGTGGTCAGGAATTTTTGTTCTTTACAAGTGGTAGGTTCAAAAATACCACACCTACTTGCAGCAGAATGCAATGACACAAACCTTGAAAATCTGAATTACATGTCTTTGAACAATAAAACACACAACACATCCGTATTGACAAATCAACATCAATATGAATATAAATTTCACATACACATCTTCCTTTCAATCAGGATTTCCAATTCAGCAAATATTGTACAAAAACAAGGAGATATCAGATATTATGATTACTTTAGGAACACAAACTTTCCCAAGACCTATCTAAATGTATCTAAACCAACTATTCTGGCCAAATACACTCCGACTCCGATGTTGCTTGCTATTCGAAAGCATCATTTGTATTACCAAACTAAAACTAACTCTATCGACCACGATTTAATATGAAGAATGAATGAATGGACAGTGGAATATTGAAGTAGCTTAATGGGAATACAAACTAGCCTTTTAGCATGTAAATTACAGCTAAGTTCTTCTAGCATCCAGCAGCTTTTAAGAATTTGTCATATGGACTTGAAGGAGGTAACCTTAACGAGTGACGCCCATATTCATGTGAACAAAGAAGCGGCTGATCGTGTCTTTTGTTGGTCTCCTTAGTATAATACTTCACATCCCCCGGAACGATTTCCATTGTCTGAATTGAGAACGACAAGAGAATATTAGTAGTAGTTTTTCCTAGTTCGATGAAATAATATAACTAAATTCTATAGCTAGAAGAGGGAAAACTATTCAATGTGGCTAACACATTGTCGTGGCACCGTGAAACCATAAATTTTAGTTTCTCTTTGTAACATCCAACAGTATAAAACTGTTAGCCACATTGTATCAAGCTCCTTGAATAATTTCTTCCAAAAGAGCCTAAAGGAAGAGCGGATTCTTTCTTCGAGCTCAGAAAAGATCAATAAGAATATGGAGTAAGATAGGCTACCACAACTTTTGAAATGATATTACTTACATTGACAGGTAAAGGAGAAGGTAAAGTTTCAATTTCACTGGAGAGTACTATTGCCTTCTCTTCCTTTGTGTCTGCCTTTTTGTGCTTGAAACTATGAAGCATCGACATTTTCTGCTGTTTGCAAGTTATGAGGGCCTCACATTGACTTTTCATTTGATCATACGGAACAGGCGCCGAAGAAACTGGGAAGCTCGCAACTTGTCTGGCTGTTTCGAGCACCTGTAAATAGTACGGACATCACTCCACGGAGCCAACCTCTCAAGATATATACATATTAGCGAAGTTTCAGCAATAAGTAGCAGATGCATACTAATTCTCATTGCAATAACACTACACAACAAAGCAGTAAGCATAAGTTCATAATTGGAGAAAATAAAAAATAAAGCGTTCACTAAGGTATAATGCTCTGATATATTCCATAAGTGCAAAATAGAAGGATTCATGTTGATAGGATTAAACAAGAACTTGAAAACTGGAGCACCATGAAATGTTTGTCTTACTGATTCCAAAAGCTGATTAACGCTTAGAATGTCGAGGTTACTGATGGAAATTGACGTTTTATGATTGGACTGGCTTCCATTAGGCTCGAGGAAGGCTTCGTCATCTGTCAAAACATCAGGAGACATACCCTGAAAGAAACACATCATGATTTTACTGATACTCTTTTAAAGGATAATGGTAAGTGACATACAACTTAAACAGGTCTCACCTCATCATAATCTGGAAATGCCAGCTTAGCAAGTGGAGAACTTGAATGTGGTGTCTCCATAAATAATGGAGCTCCTGACGGGTATGCCTCATCAGGCGAAAACCCGTGTAAAAGCTGCTCTTTAACACTTGATAGATCAGCCTAAAAGAAAATAAAGTTTATTAACACAATTTTTAACACTTGTACATCTTCCCTCATGCTTTTCAATTTTCCTTGATTTTAAGGTGCTACCTTGATTCGATCTTTAAAAAATGTATTGAGAGTATCCACCCCTCATGTATGTATGTGTAAGTATATTTTGATAGGAAATAATATCTTTGAAAGACTTGCTCATATCAGCTGTGCTGGGGTGGTCACTCTTTCTTTCATATGCTTCCTCCCAGTGTTTTAATCTCTAAAGTGTCTTAAAAGATCCCCCAAGTTATCATTAACTAAATTGGGTGTCCTTGCAAGGTTCTGCAAATGCCCCCGGCCCAAGATTCGGCACCTAACGGCCCCGACGTTCTTCTGCATCCCTTATAACCTAACCATGCTACCTACTAACCATAAGTTGCTTGTTTGATTGAAAACTTTCTCCAAC